GTGTGTGTGTGTGTGTGTGTGTGTGTGTGTGTGTGTGTGTGTGTGTGCGTGTGGTCCCCTGTTTTGCTGGGGTGATCAAATCTGTGGTCTCATTAAAGCAGGTGTCGGATGCGTTCTCTGTCTCTCTGCTCCACTGCTTTCACTTGAGCATGTAAACAGCCATGTGCACACAAACACTGCATATTGTTGCCGTATCAATTGGACAACCAGCCTCAGTCCACCTACTCTTCTGCTGAAGCGCCAGTGTTGCCTCAAATTAAGTGAATATCACGGTAATTGCTTGACTCCCAGCTTAGAGGTCTAAATGCATTGATTTGTTTCATGGATTTTTCTTCAATAACACAAAATGCTGTGATGATAGGCCAGCTTTGGTTGGCTTGATAACAAAGAAACAAAGCACAAACGCACACACATACACTGCACACCCACTCACATTTCTCTCTGGGGGGGGCCAAAGACCATATAGCTTGTTAAAACTGACCTTTGAACAAGAGTTGAAGTGGGGTGGGAGTGAAAAGGGAAAAGGAGGAGGAAAAGAAGGTGTAAAGGCTGGAAGGAATGAGGGGGTTCAGGAGGAGGAATGGACAGTCGGAAGACATGAAGGATCATACAACAGTGACTGATGATTGGTCAGACTAGTGTGTTGAGACAAGAGAAAGTCATATGATGATATATATACGTATACATTGAGACTAAATAAATGTATCGACCGCCAGATATTTTGCCACTGTTTATACTCTTGTGGTAGCTGTCCTTTTAATAGTGTCATAGGCCGCCAGGCCCATGTTGCAAATCATTTACAGTAGTATTGGATTTTTAAACGATTTGTTTTCCATCAATGTGGTACCTTGGTAACATCAGGTATTCGATTTTCTGGATTAGCTCAAAACAGACTGTCCCATCTGATTATTTTATCCATAAACTCCCTCTCACTCACAGAATGGAACACAAGCGTTGGACAACAGAACTCTGACCGTATACATAATACATCCACTTCACTGTCTCTGGAATATCAGTCCGCCAACCTAAACAATTCCAAAAAGTACGTTTCACAAAGAGACAGTTTAAACCATAACATCTACATCATTACCATCAATTAAATATTCCAGTTAAAAAAAAAAAGATACCTAAAATACATTTCTTATCTCATATCAATATCATGGTCGAAAATAAAATATGCCATGATGGTAAGCAGTCTGGTTTTAGAGTGTTAAGATTAGGTTTAGCTTTAGGTCAATATTAGGGTACTAGTTGAAGTGAGGCATGCAGTGGTGGGTGCTGGAGAACCCTTACATATTCCTTACATATGTCACTTTCAACCATCGAGGTTCATTTGTGTTTGTGTTCAGGACTTTGAGATGAACGGGGAGCTGAAGATGTCGGTGATCTGTCTCCTGGGGGAGGTGCTCCGAGATCCAGACCTGCTCCCTCAGGAGAGTAAAGCTACTGCCAACATACTAAGGTGTTGCACACGCAAATGTACACGCACACTAACATGCAGCACGTGTGTGAAGCACTTGAATATAACACTTGAAAGCTCAATAGTTTCTGCCATCAAATTGTCCTCCATTTATTATTCAGTTATCACAGAAGCTTCTCCTTATTCTATTTTATCATGTTATGTTCTACCATGTTCTTTTCTATTCTGTTCTGTTATATTGCATTCTGTTAGATTATGTTCTGATGTATTTTAATCTGCACTTAATCTGTTTTTGAGCTTTTCTATTTGCCGTACTCTGTTCTATTATATTATTTCCTGTTCTGTTCTGTTCTATTTTTTCTGTTCTGTTCTATTTTATTTCATTGTGTTCTGTCATATTATATCATGTGTTATTCTTGTCTGTTGTTTTGTATTATGCTCTTTTTTATTCGATTCTTTCTTGTTCTTTGCATTTTGTTACTATGTTATTCAGCTTTAGTCTGTTCTATTTCCCTCTGTCTCCTAGTGCCCTTTCTCAAGACGAGCAGGAGGATGCCCAGCTGAGGATAGAGGACATCTTACAGATGGTGAGAAAAACCGCAGCACATAAAATCCTCTGATCACTTATTTAAAGTGCGTCATTGCAAACATATTGTTAGGATTTTGATATGATATTACTGTGTTGGATCAATGGAGCAGCAGTAAACTGCAGAGAAAGAAATGATACTGCAGCCTTTTGTTATTGCAGACTGGGTGATTGATGCAGCTTTTAATTTGAATTTGGACATTATTGTGGTTCTCTATGGGATTGCCTCTATGAAGCCGGTGCCCCTTGGTATTTAAGCATTAATACGCACCTCCCTTCAAATACTTAACCTGTTCCCAGAGATGAAAATAATCAGCTATCATGAGTACCCCTGGTTTACTATCTTAATAATAACTGGGAATCACTCACACATTTGCCTTTTGTAAGATGTGAAAAGCCTCAGTCAAAACCCACTGTTCTCTCCTCCAGGCAGGAGGGGTAAATACAACCTCTCTTCTCCAGGGAACTGTCAACTGTCGTAAAACATAATCATCATTCAGCCTCTTTATTAGATATTAATATCTCCTTGTTATCCGTGCTATGGTGTGAAAATGGCCTTGTTTATGACTCTGTTTTTCTCTGTCGGTGTGTGTCCGTGTGTTTAGGCGGACTGTCCGAAGGCAGAGTGTTTCGAGTCTCTGTCGGCAATGGAGCTGGCCGAGCAGGTCACCCTTCTGGATCACATCGTCTTCAGGAGCATTCCTTACGAGTCAGTCCTCTCATTGCACTCTCACTCTGTGATCTACATCGCTATGTGGTTAACTGCTTGTATCAGATCAGCTTTTTGAAACATCTGCAACACCTGCAATTACATTTTAGATTCTTTGCAAAGTGCGTTTAGTCATTTGATTCTTTGATAATGAGCTTCTGGAAATAATTTCTTCTATATATTGACACATATGTATCTATGCCATTACATATCATAAAGCACCGAACACAGGAGGAATGCCTCATGGTATCCCCATCTAATGTGTTTTTAGATAGAAAAAGTATCCAACTCTTTGGTTTGTAAAATAAAAAAAAGAGTTGAAGAAATAAGGAAACCCAGTTAGCTTGCTGTTAAATAGTTAATACTAGAAAGAAATGTGTTTTGTAGTTTCTTAAAACTTGATATTTGGCTCGACGTTAATGCAAGACTTTCATCCAACAACCAATGTCTTGCGTACCTAGTTCAGTTCTTAGTTTCTCATCGGCCTTCATGAGGCATCTGTCTTTACTGGTGGTGTTTAATTAGTTTGAGTAATGTTATCAACCCCTGCCGGGACCGTGATAATATCCTTAAGTCACAGGCTTTAGCTGATGTAATTTATATCTTATGCGATTACTGTGCTGTATTTTAGCCTTTACGCTCTCATTTGGACTTATCACATGTGTTCCGACTCTCTAAGAGAGTTCCTGGGGCTCGGCTGGATGAAGGTTGATAAGATGGAGAGGACGCCATACATCATGAAAACTACTCAACACTTCAATGATGTAAGCTCTTTCAGTATTTTGTCATTTGTGTATCCTGTGCAACTATATCTATATACATACATACTTATATACTGTATATTTTTCTCTAGTACAACCTTACGCAGCATAGACGCAATTATCCAGTGCAATAAGTGAAATATGTATCTATAGTGTATACATGTACATTACTATGTTGTTATATTACTCTATTTGTATTTTGTCTTGAATTGTTATATATTCAGCACTTCCAGTAAACTGTAATTTCTAATTTCCCCAGTGTGGGATCAATACAGTTCTCGTCTTACCTTATCTTATCCTTTCCTTTTGAAGATGAGTAACCTGGTGGCATCACAGATTATGACCCACACCGATGTGGGCTCGAGGGCCAACTCCATAGAAAAGTGGGTTGCCGTGGCTGACATCTGCCGCTGTCTCAACAACTACAACGGAGTGCTGGAGATCACATCTGCGCTTAATCGCAGCGCCATCTACCGTTTGAAGAAGACCTGGGCTAAAGTCAGCAAACAGGTGGAGTAATTCTCCATTAATCCTCTCTGTAAACGCAAAAACCAGTGTATATAAAGTTTACCTCAGCATAGAGGATTAGAATAAAGTTCTTTGGTCTCTAATGTCTTCAAATGTATACAGAATTGATGCCATTAGAGAGTTCAGGGAAAGACAACAGAGAAAGGCATTTACCTGGAATGTTTAGTATCTACTCTTCGCTCAATTCTGATGAACACTAAATCGATTAAACCATAATCATACAATCATCAGTCTGTCTCTCCACAAAGCCATTCTGCCTGTTCAGGACCCAAACAAATCTGATTTTGTCATTTCATTATGGTCATGTTTTTTAAAGTAAGAGTAAGAGTAAGTGGATCTCGGATTAATCCAACAGCCTTGCGTGTCCTTGGTTGTTCATGATAGTTTAAAAAAAATGATTTTAAATGCGTATCCGTGATCTTGTCCAGGCTAAAACCCTCATGGACAAACTGCAGAAGACCGTGTCCACCGAGGGAAGGTCTAAAAATCTGAGGGAGACCCTGAAAAAGTGAGACATTGCAAATTACACCACTAAACGTATCATGAGTTTTGTTTCACTGACTTTGAGACAATTTGTGAGACATTATTTGTTCACACTCTCTTCCTCCAGCTGCAACCCTCCGTGTGTGCCGTACCTGGGAATGTATCAAACTGACTTGGCCTTCATTGAGGAGGGAAGGCCCAATTTTACTGAGGACGGTCTTGTAAACTTCTCCAAAATGAGGATGGTAGGCACATACATAAAAAATAAACATGCAAATCATCCATACATGTATACTTTTACTTTGATTGTTAAATTCAACCTTTTCTTTAGATATCCCACATCATCAGAGAGATCCGACAGTTTCAGCAGACGCCGTACAGAATAGAGCATCAAGCCAAGGTACTTTCTTTTTGTAAACACATTTCATATTTTTTTCCCAATAGGGGTGCCTTTTAATTTGTCAGGAACAAGAACATCATCAAATGTGCACTACATTTTAAGAATAATAAATGTATAAATTTAATAAACTTGATTTATTAAGAGCTGCTATAAAACATAGTTACAAAGCGTGAACAGAGGTTCAAAAAATTGAAACTTCCAGATAAAACTCTGGAAATTATGAAGCCAAATCGTAGAGTTTAGAAGTGAGTTCATAATAAGAAGAAAACACGGATCCTTTAAGGAAGTGCTTGTCTCTGCTGCTGTTGTGAAAGGATTATTGAAAATCCCTTTTGATACACGGTAGTGTGGAAAAGTATATGTTTCTGGGAGCCAAAAACATGGGCTGGCAGAAGCTATCTTTAATCACCAATCCTCTGTTTCTGCATCAAGAAACAGAGGATTGGTGAGTGGTGATATCATCCTTCTAACATCCACTGTGTATCAATTAACAGCTGGACCACTCAGAACCGTGGAAAGTAGTTTAGATTCAGACGACTATGAGATCTAAATTCAATTTGAGTTGAGCAGCATAACTGCAAAGCCATTTTGGTTTAATCCCCATTCAGCCTTTCAAGACCATCTAGTGATCTACTTGCTAAAACATTTGAAACATTAACGTTAAAGATTAATTGAACAGAACAAAATGAAGCCGTAGCTGTAAACATGTGTATGTCTGTGTTGCAGTTCTGAAACTTCCAATATCTCTCCCCGCCTTTTATGTTTTCTTTCCAGGTGACCCAGTACCTCCTGGATAAGACTCTCATCATGGATGAAGAGACACTCTATGATCTCTCGCTGAAGATTGAGCCCAGGCTTCCTGCCTGAGTTGCAGCTGTTTGTGGCCAGTGGGAACCTGCCAAACCTGGACCCCCCCAAGGGAAACACGCCCACGCAATCTCATCAATCAAGAGGAAATCTGAGAGTTTTGAGAGCGACGTGGAATTGGAAATAAGAGAAATACTGACTGAAGTGGGAGATATCTTTAGAGTCAAGTATGAGGACAGTTGAACAAGCTTTTACAAGAGACTGAGGGAGCATGAGGAGGGGACGAGGCTGTTGGAGTGTCGGATTGATTGTCTTCAAGGAGAACAAGAGGAGGTGGTTTTGGTTGCAATGCCTGAGGGTTTTTGAGGAAATGACATGTCGCCGTGTGCGCTCGTCATTCCTCAGACGAGAGTGCGGTGCACACGACATCACACATGGAGTGAATGGATGGAATGCAGTGGATGTAACAGAGATGTAGCATATACAGACTGTGTGACAGAGAGATGTCCGCTTTCGTGTCTCTGTGCCGTTGTCTATGTTCTGTTGCCTGTGCATTTCCGTGCCACGTCCTGGAGCAAAAGCCCCCCCAAAAAAAATATTTGCTTTATTGTCATGATGGTCACTGCATAAAACTTGCATGAATTCAGCTTGGGATGTAACTGTCTAAATGGCCTTCCACCTGACCCCTGACCCTCAGCTTAGCATGCATCACTCTTATCAGAGTGACCCTCTAAGCCACTATGCATCCTCAGTGGGCTGGGTGTGGCAAAGAAAAATGCCTTTAAGCCTTCACATATAATGTAGAAAGAAAATTGAAAATAATTTAAAGTGAAAAATTTGATATATTTTGGATTTTCCAAACAATGCATTCTGTTGTAGTCTTTGCCTAAAGACTGAATGGAAAGCTATTTCTCAAATGGCAACGTCCACATGAATGATACAAAATAAAAACACTTTATTAGTGCCTTCCACTAGTGTAGGTCAATTTCCCCACAGTTGCCAATACACAAGCTTAACATTTTACATGAATCCTGCTTTGAAATGCTTAAGATTTACTTTAAAATTGGACTAGAGTTTCACTCATTCAACTTTTTTTTTCAGAAAATAGGTTCCGTAGACTTAAGAGTAGCATGTTAGTGTAAACAGTAAAGTCATTGCAGCAAATATCTCCCTCTAGTGTTTAAGCATTGTTATAACTTCTACTGACCCAAAGCTTTTGCAGCTTTTGTGTATTTGTTGGATTTCTTTGGCTTTGACAAATTGTCTGACACTGACGCGTGTAGTCAGGTCCCAGTGTGTAACTCTTGGATGTAGGCTGGGACAGTTTTTGCACTCTCTGAGATGTAGCTTCGCTTGAGTGACAGTATGATCGTTATTTTACCATGCTATTTATTTCATCAGATACTGTATTTATGATATTTTTGTATATAGTTACCACACATATGATTGATGAAGAGATAGTTTGAATTGTTATGCTGTGAATATTGATTATATTGTCTTTTTATGTCTCTCTTGCTTTCATGTTGAATTGTAGTTTTGCATCCCAGGCTCTTGTATCGCAAGAACTCTGTTAAACTTTATTAAAAACAAACAATATCATTTGAAAGTGAAAAAAAAAATGTAGCATTTGAATAATCAGAATTTGTTTTCTGTATTGCTGATATGATGAACATAGTTGTCCTGCATGCACACAACAGCTGCATGTTGTGCATGTCCGACTGGACGCTCCCTGTGCGTCCCTCTTCTTTTCTATATCAATATTGTCTCTGTATCTGTCAGGAGGCTCTGTTAAAAGGCATAGGAACAATATTTTGTCCATCAAATCTGGCACATTCGTCTCTAGCTCAAGCATAGTTTTTAGGCCGTGTCATCCGCAAAAGAGCCTGTTGTTATCGAGTAGCGCCGTCGGAAGAAACAGATTGATCAGAAGAAATGTTTTCAGGTTTTGCTTTTGGAAAAAAAAAAAAAAAAAACTTGTCTGCACTGCATCTGTAATTCTGACTGTAAGTCTGTTTGACACACAGGTTTGGGAATACAGGATGCTACGTTTGTATTGTATCATTTCCGTGTATTTGTTTGCATTTTTCACTTGTAGATGCGGGAGAAATAAATTCAACATGCCTTACGTGTTTGCACATTTCCTTGGACTGTGCAATAATTTCAATGATATAAAGTTGCCTCTGCTACCTATGGCATGTAGGGTTCCGACAATCTCTGGTGCATCAACAAATTTCAAAATTCAGAACCAAACTCTGAAGACTGGGAGACAAAAAAATACTTTTAGCATAGTTTAACTTCTGTTGAAATGCTCTTGAACATCTAGGGTTTTTATCTGGTGCTGAGGTCTAAGAGACTACCATAAGACTATAGCATGAAATCACCAAATTTAAGGATTAATATATTTCCTTTGTCTAGAACTGACCAGTTGTAACACACTTGTACACACTCAAGCCAGACACCAGAACTAGATTATACATTCTCAACACGTGAAAGCTAACAATTTATGAGCTTTATATATGCAATGCTCGGACCTTGAATGTTATGAAGTATAGAACCTGTTTATTTACAGGTTCAAAGCCTCTCCTTGTTTTGATTGTTAGAGAGACACAACATATGTTAACTGATTGCAAAGAAACTGAATTACAGCTTCAAAATGAACTCTTCGGGCTGCTGCTGTTGAAGAGTATTCCGTCTTTGGACGAGGGCTTTGAAAGGCCAATCACAGTTCATGCATATAACTACAGTACAAGACGGTAGACCACCTAGAATGACAGTTGTTACCGTATCCTTCATCAAACGGTCCCTCAACCGGAGTGATGATTTGACATTCAAGTGCAGAGGCAAATCATTTGTGCTTGTTGCTAAGGGCACCAGGGTGGTCCAACCATCTGCCAAAGCCAGGAATATGAAAACGTTCATTTTAACAATATACAGTACTGCACAGGCTACACACAAAGCTATTAACAGAGGACAGAACTGTAATGACATAAAACCTTGACTAAGACTGGAGGTTTGCATACAGAATGTCAACAGTTATTTCAGCCATTATCTTTTTTCCACTGAAGTTCTGCTGAAGGGTTTTGACAACCTTTATCTTGAAGTTCTGACATACAGACCTGCACAAGTAGTGTACATGTCATGTAATGTGACCTGGAACTGTGGCCATCCTGCCTATGAGGTGTGATACCATTCAGCAGACAAACGCACAGCACCTTCACCGCCTACCTGCTACGGCTATCTCAGCATTCTACATTCATATCCCAGTGCTTTTGCATGCATGCATGAGGTGTAAGGTCCTCACCACGGGTACCCTGCCTCCCAACATTGGCACTCTGTGTCACAAAGAAAATAGAACCAATACAAAAAGATTTTAAAACAAACAAAGTCAGTCAGTTTAACAATATAATTTGAAAAAAATTGGGAACAGATTAACAGTATAGCAAAACAGCAGTTGTAAAACAGCAGCAGGTGAACCTACAAGGGGAAAACAGGGATTAGCAGGGCTCATCATGCTGCAAAACACAATTTAATGTTGTGACCGTATACTCACCACCTGGTATGGGGCACTATCACATAGAATAACTCAAGGTAGGCAGTATAACTATGGGGTTCCAACACAATATTCTCAGCCAACATGTCAGACATGAGCTAGAACAGAAGGCAGTCAACTAAGTATGTAATTTAAAAATGCTGCCATGTTAAAAGATCACTTCAACTACATACCTGTAACACCAATCACTACCAGCCCCCAGAGAGACAGAGGACAGGGGCCAAAAAAATGGCCCAATCCCAATCTCCACCCTTACGGATTTTGAGGCTCGCTACCGTGAAGTCCCTGAGGGTTCAGGATTTAGGGAGGGGGGGGATTGGGATTGGACCAATGAGCCGAGGCCAACAAGTGCTTTTTTGTAATCTGGCCCTAATTAGGGAATTGGTTGGGGGAGGAGCCAGGCTTGGTGCTGCATTAACCAATACTACACCATATGTTACATTCACTGGCACTGGAGGAGCAATCCCAACCACCCTTTCAGAGGAGCTTACCAAACAGTACCGACATGTGCCTGCAGGGAGAAGGGACAGTACTGCAGCAGCAGCATGGCAAACAGAGAGGGAGACTGCCAGGGCTGGATGACAGCACATAGCGCTCATCAAACATTCCCGAGGTGAACTGACGAGGAGAAAGCGTTTGGTCACTGTATGAAGGAGTAGAAACAAATTGACCAGACCATGTGATGCACTGTAGAAAGTTATCAACAACTAAGTTAGTGTTAGCTTCACTACTAAAAGAGCTGTTTTCATAGTATAGTCCGTAATCCTTCCAAGACAAATATTAAACAAACAACAAACATTTAGTTTGCTATTTAAAGGAAAGGTAGAGAAAGAGTGTGAGAAAAACCACACAGCGGCAGATGGAGTGAAAGAGAAAAAGGGCATGGTGTGAATCTCAGACAAGTTGAGCAAGTGTTTGTAAATTCATCGCCCCAAATGTTGTCAAGGAGATGTGACAAGTTGTTAGTGTGGGATCTGCTGTCAGCTTTTACTTCTGATGAACCGACTGGAAGATGACCGGAAGCATTTGTGTGACCAGTGGGAGTTTTATAGCAGATCAACCAACACGACTCCAGTTTCTGAGAGACAGATGGACGACAGTTAGGCGAAGTTTACCACAACACCGTGGGTGTGACGTCTCAGCCCTTTCCAGTCAAAGACAGACATTGCTTATTGAAAATGATTAATATTGGACTTGAAATACTGGAAAAAGATATAAGGACAGGGCATCTAATATTAGAGATGCAATGCATTGGCAATGCTGAATTTGTTGTCTAAAAGGTTGAATAAAAAGTTTTCCTTTACAGTATAAGCAGACAGCTGTACTCTCCAAGTTTGTGTGCTATTGTTCCTCAGTGGGAAACATTTGCTTTTGTCCACACCCTCCATGTCAGTGCCAAAACTGGACTTTACACTGACTCATACAAAACACACATGACATACTGCAACAGAGGATATATTCTGAGCAGGGTTGAAGGTGAAGGTGACCCCACAGTTTGTTCTGCCTAAAAAGGCATATTAGCGCATGCAATATATTCATACTTACAGCTAATGAAGGAACAGTGAAACAGAGTTATGCATGTTTTGGGTGTCTTCCTTTTGAGTCACTATACTGAATATTAGAGGTAACCCTCCAGCTGAAGCGTCACAGTGCAACCAACCATATAAACCATATAAACCCTTATCTGCTTGCTCAATTTAAGATGCCATGTTTTGTTTACTATACTGATTTGTCACAGGAATTACCGTAAGTAGTACTGTAGCTAAGACTGATTGATCATCAGAGCTATGTAATTAGTGTGTGTGTGAAAGAGGAAAGAATTTAAGGTCTTTGCTCTTTTTCTGTATTGTGAAGAAGAGCACATGAAATTGCCTATTGTGAGCTGAGTTTGATTGTATGCATACTGAGTTTGATTGTATGCATGTATGTATGTATATGTGCATGTGTGTGTGTATGCGTGTGTGTGTGTGTGCGAGTGCATGTGTGAAGAGGCAGGCAGACATGCTGACTGACAGTAGAAAGAGGATTGTCTGTCTGTTGCCCAGTGAGAGGCTAATCCTGAGCCAGTGTCCCCATCTCTCTGATCCCATCTCTGTTCTTCAGTCTGCTCTCACTCTGCAGATCGAGCGTCTCTGGACTGAGCTGCAGGAAACACTCTTCAGACAAACCTCAGGTGAGTGGTGGATTCTTCGTCCTCACCCCTCAGCTCTTTCTCTTGCAGCTCCGTCTGTGTTTCCTGCCTCCTTATGCACACATGCTTCCCTGGGAGAAGTAAAAGCAATTGAATGCATTCTATAATACATTAAATACTATAATATAGTCTGTAATAGAAGTTTGTGTGCACAAGTAAAGAGACTTCTCTAATCTTTTCATCAGCTCTCTCAGCCTTTTGTTTGCACTTCGCTCTAAGGCTAAACACTTACAGCACGCGGTATAGCCTACATAGCAGCCTCTTGCATTAGGGCATCTTAATCTGCCTGATATTAACAGAGACCAGCCACCTGGCAACAACTGGTCCCCGTTCATCTCAGGTTTAACATGTCTTTATTCATTTCAGAGTGTTCAAAGAGTACAGGTGCCTCTCTTCATTACTTTCCTTCTTCACTTAATCTTCTATAGTCTCGGATGAAGATCCCTCTAATCCTGCATTTTCCACTGTCTTTCTTACCCTCTAACCCCTCCTCCTGACCTTAATGTGACACATTCTGTACTGCCCCTCCTACTGTCTTAAACATGTCTGCATTTTTTACTCTCTCTCTCTCTTTCTCCTCCACACCACTTCACCCCACTCTGTCTCTATTTTGTTCTCCTGCTCATCTTGTGTAAACTCAGATGACCGGCTCAAGATGCCAGAAGAGATCATATGTTGTCCTGGGCTTAAGCCAACTCTAAACTGGCACTTCACCTTAACCTCACCGACTGCTACTACCAATACCGTGTTGTGTGGGTGTGTGTGACGGGTGATTTTGACCCATAGCTTAAGACAGATATAGAACTGCAATTACTATTATAAGAAATGTGCAAAGATGCTTTATCTTTATACAGACAGGTGTTACAAGGGGCCATGACATGCTATGTCAGTGTCTCTCTCAGTACCCAATCACAAATCATCTCATCACCTGAGCTGGTGGCTCGCCTGAGGCGACCAATCAGAAGGCTTCTGTCTGCTTCTAGAGTAATCTCATCACACAGACAGCAGCACTATCTGTTACTTAAGCATTTGATAGGTTAATGCAGATGCCTGTGAAGATGTGTGTCGATAGATCTTCATGTAAACGTAAGGTGTTGTTGAACTGCATACAAACGGTGGGAAATTCCATCCGTATCCTCACCAACTTTATCACTTCAAGACTTACATTTCTACTTCAATGTGTTTCCTTCTGAGTACATTGGTCACAGAGCAACAAATACAAAAAAGTGCTGCAGCATTGTCAGTAGTCATTTCACGACAAAATCCACAATCACTGCTACCTCCAAAAATGTAGTAATGTCTCACTGCAATAAAAAAGGTGCATTGCAAATTCTTGGATTACTACAATCTTACACAATGTGATATTCTCACCACTGTGAGATTTAAGAAGAGAAATCAAATACTATTGTACAACAAATATTCTGCTCTCCTCTGTGCCTGTGGGCAGTCTAACAATCTGATTCCCAATTATCAGCTTCATCTAGATGCCATCAGTGACATTCAGGCAGGATAAAGTCGATGGAATGTCAACTTTGCCCTCTGACCTTTCCCTAGGTAACAAGACCACATAACCATGGCAAACTCCTTCACCCGTATGATGTCTGGCCGTCACACGGCAGTGATTCTGGCCAGCATAGGAGCTGGCACACTGGCATCTGGATACCTTCTCAGTGACCACATTGTTGCTGCTGCTGAGAGGACGAGGCTCTATCCACCCAGGTACAAGTCTGTGAGTGTGTTTGTGAGGTGTTTCAATAATCACCTGTACAGCAGAAATACCTATATGCAAAAAAATAAGCACTTCAAATAACATTTATCTTGGAAGGGTTTCGGACTACTAGACTATGAAAACAGCTCTACTAGTAGTGAAGCTTCTTTGTCGTTGATAACTTTCTACAGTGCAGATTACCCTGACCTGAGGAAGCACAACAACTGCATGGCAGCTGCCCTGACCCCAACCATTTATGGGCACCTGAGGGACAAGAAAACCCCCAATGACTGGACCCTGGACCAATGCATCCAGACCGGGGTGGACAACCCTGGACACCCCTTCATCAAGACTGTGGGCATGGTAGCAGGAGATGAGGAGAGCTACGAGGTTGGAGTTCTTGTTTGCAGTGAGTTGTTGTGTTTTCACTCCTAAAAGGGGGGGGTAAAACTGAGAGGGGTTTTTTTTCCATCAGGTGTTTGCTGAGCTCTTTGACCCTGTTATCAAGGACAGACACAATGGCTACGACCCTCGCACGATGAAGCACCCCACTGACCTGGATGCTTCCAAGGTTACACACGCACATTGTCTTAAGTCTTTTGTTCTCTGCATCACATGGTCTGGTTCATTTGATTTTACTCCTTCATACAGTGACCAAACGCTTTCTCCTCGACAGGTCACCTCGGGAATGTTTGATGAGCGCTACGTGCTGTCATCTCGAGTCCGTACCGGTCGTAGCATCCGTGGACTGAGTCTCCCCCCGGCGTGCTCGCGCTCTGAGCGCCGCGAGGTGGAGCGCGTGGCTGTGACAGCTCTGTCCGGCCTGAAGGGAGACCTGAGCGGTCGCTACTACAGCCTGGGGGAGATGTCTGACAGAGAGCAGCAACAGCTGATTGATGTTAGTGCACAGTCACACACACTGAAAGACAAGGTTCTGTACTTATTTTTTTATTTTTTTTGATGACCTTTGCCATCCCATGTCCCCTCTGTCCCTTTACCGGCCAATCAGGATCACCTCCTGTTTGATAAACCTGTGTCACCTCTGCTCACGGCGGCTGGGATGGCCAGAGATTGGCCTGATGCTCGTGGGATCTGGTAAGACTAGGAGAAACTCAGTCCAGAAGAAGTAGCATTCTGCTGTTTTAATCTCAGCTGTAGTCCCTGCATAGTTGGTCTAGAGGCAGTTTTTGAGGAGATCTGTCTCAGAGGTTTCATTCACAACCATCACTAGTGTTTGGTTTGTGCTGGGGAGACAGTAATAGAAACACAAATAAGACAACTGCTAATCTGCGACCATCTTCAGCCCATAATTTATTTTCAGGAGTTTTATCAGTGTCGTATTTGAAGACATTTACTAATTTGCTGGATACCAAGGGTTATTTAGGAAAGACACAGGAATAGTGTCTGACATCAGACACCATGAAGCACCACCACCACGCAGTACAGGACCAATATGACTGGAGCGAAGTGGATTATACGGTTGAATAAGATTACAGTGTTTTTCTGTTAAGTTATGTAAGAACAGATGTAGAACATGTAGAAAACACTGTGCCCCCCCATTGCTGGAAGGCTGTAAATCCCCAGAAAACAACGAGCAGACTTACTCACTGCAAGACTCCCATGTGTGTTTTTCATGCAGTGCTTAATACATCACTGGTAGCATTCTGAAACCTGCACTTGCAGCTCCTCCAGACCCAAACTAATAGTTTTTTTTGATAAATTATTTTATTTCCTTAATTTATTCTTAACATGCTTTCCAAACAGCTGCTCTGCACTGATCAAATGTCACTCTCCTCTTCAAGTTTAAACTATATCAGCAGATCAGTACTAACATGGATACCGATCACTCAGCTTTGAAATGGAGTTTAAGTCTGCTTTCTTGATTGTCTCAGGCACAACAACGAGAAGAACTTCTTAATCTGGATCAACGAGGAGGACCACACAAGGATCATATCCATGGAGAAAGGAGGAAACATGAAGAGAGTGTTTGAACGGTTCTGTAGAGGTCTTAAACAGGTGCACATGCCTCTATGTCTTCTTGCACAAACATGGCCCAGTGCAGATTTTTTAAAACAACTTATTTCTCCCCAAATAACTAATCCTTATCCATGCAGTTTATCTTAGTGCAAAGTAAAGCTTTGGAAAGACTTTACAAAAGCATAGTATAAAAAACGACATATGAATTAGAATTAATACATCAAAAATATTTTATCTCCAGTCTGTTGCAATTATATTTTAAATATGTGTTCCAAAAAGTAAAGTAAAGTATAAATATTTTTTTATCTAACTTGTAGGTGGAGCATCTAATTCAGGAGAGAGGCTGGGAGTTCATGTGGAATGACCATCTGGGCTACGTCCTCACCTGCCCCTCTAACCTCGGGACTGGGCTCAGGGCCGGTGTGCATATCCGCCTGCCCATCCTCAGCAGGGTATTGCAGGAAACACACCACACGTGCCCCTCCCGCATTGTAGTTCTCCCGTCTGAAAAATGATTTTAATTTGTGTGATATTTATGATCTAGGACCCTCGCTTTAAAAGGATCCTGGATAACCTGAGGCTACAGAAGAGAGGCACGGGAGGCGTCGACACGGCTGCTACGGGAGACACTGTCGACATCTCCAACCTCGACCGTCTGGGCAAGTCAGAGGTAAACACCTCAAGGGGGTTAAGTCAGCCGTTGAAGTAAAAGTAGAAATGTGCAGCAGGTAAGGAGAGACAGAGTCAGACACAGGACAGCAGACATCCCAGCAGGTGTGGTGCTGTGAATAAGCGTACCCACTGCTGTTCTTTAATCCGTAATCCAGGCAGGGATGTGCCGGTTGAGATTAAAAGAAACTCTGTCCCCTGAGCTGAGCCTCTCCTGCTGCGATGACGGCCTCCAAGCGCTACCAGGTCATAGAGAGTAAAGGTCAGGGTGGTTGTGATTAGACTCCAAGCCAATCACATCCAAGCATAGGAAGCCCTGCCTGAACGACTGAACTCAATGAGCAAAAATCCCCTGGTGTTAGTTGAACTTGCCAGATGTCAGCAGGTTATGTATTATAGTTAGTGGACAACACAAAGCAGAGAACTGCAGATAACTTAAATTTAAAGACAGTTTATAAACAGACAAAGGTGTTTCTCAACTACCTGCCATGTAATGGAAAAAGTGCTAGTGCAGTGTTACTGGTTTAAAAAATATGCTCACTTTATTGCAGTCAAATCAGCAGATTTCACATTTGCTTCTGTAGTTCTTATCTTCATAATATTTAGCAAAATCCTGAAGACCTCTGAGCCTCAGCGATACATGTGAAGAACCACTGAGGTAGCGAAATATTGGGACCATAGTGGATAACATGATATACTGTATATTTAAATGTCACCTGAACCTGATCAACAACTATATTCACATTGACCATGCAATTGTTGACACTAGTTTCCGTGCATCCACAGGTCGAACTGGTACAACTAGTGATTGACGGCATTAACTACCTAATTGAGTGTGAGAAGAGGCTGGAGAAGGGGCAGGACATCAAGATCCCCTCCCCCATTCTTCAGTTCAGGAAGTGAGGGTCCCCTCAGCTGGGAATCCTGGAATAGTGTAGGCGCTCCAACCGCTGTTCATTAAACTGTTGGTCCTACAAGATATTCACGGCATGTATAGCGTTGTACTTACTTACATGCGCAATTAATGAATTACATGTACAAATATTCTAAACACAATAAACTCTATTGATGAACTGAGTTGTATTGTTGTTTTACCATTGACCCTACGCTAAGCTACCACACAGCTTACTGCACTCCCTAAAATAAATATGATCTAACTTTTGGAAAAACAAAAAAGCTATTTCAGAGACAAGCATACAAAAGGGTCTACGAAATGAGTTTGAAGGAAATATCTATGATGTCAGCAAAGAAGTGCTAACGCTAGTTAATGATGTGCTATGATGACTCTGCTCATGTTAGCTCCACAGGTTTTTAAAACGTTTTAGAAATGTATATCTCCTTCCATCACTATTGCACAGCGTTTAACCATGAGTAGCTCCAGATCCACAAAAGTAGCTTAAAGAAAATCAATGAAAGATTGCATGAGAGTCTGTGGAGCAGACTCGTATAGTTGTCAGACCCTGGTCAGAGCCGGTCGATGCTACACTATGATTGTCCAGTCTGCGTTCGAGGGTGAGACTTAGCGAAGGGTCAATTCTGGTGGCGTTACAGCCTCTGTCGTTGCAAACAAAATAACAGTTTGAAGCTAAATTCTCCAATATTTTATAAAAAAAAGGGAAGATTAGAGGGAAATCCCCCATTGATCAATACAAATATATTAGTTTTTACCTCTTTCCTACTCTTTCCTACACCCAAAATTCATATTGTGATCCTTTAGAGAGGGCCCAAACCTCATGTTGGGAACCATGGGACCAAAGGACTTAACGATGAGACGGTTTATAAAGTACCTAAACTATCATCGCTCCATAGACCTGCTACCACAGTACAATGCTGCTTCTATATTGATGCGTCACTATCAGTCACAGGGGTTGCTTTTATGCAAAACTAGTAATTCTACCTTTCATACTGAAAGTACAACTGCTGATAATACTTTTTCTTATTTAAGGTTTTATATTTTTACATATAATGGAATATTATTTTACATTCTTGTATTGATACGTTGACTTAAGTTGAAGATCTGAATACTTTTACCACTGGTTGTCTATCAGATCCAGCCTTCCTGAATTTTGTTTTAACCAAAAGCAATTAGAAATTTGACAAGTAAAATATCATTAGATTATTAGAGAGTATCATAAAACCCTAATTTCGGTAAACTAATGCATAACAAGATAATAAAACAGAGCTAAATCTAGCTCGAACAGAAAAGAAAGCACAACTCAGGTGCACACAAAGTACAGTCACACCTCCAACTGCTATGTTTGTTCCTTCTCTTACTCAGACAGAGATGCTGTTATTAAGTCATGGCCAAGTGCCAAATTTAATAAGACGGAGCTATATTGGACAATAATGTCACGACCTCTACAACTCTATAATTAAGTGCTCAACCCCTGCTTGTCCTGACTCACAAAGAGGACTATAGCCACAGTTACTGCAGCAAGTAGTTGTATATTCTTCTATGAAAAAGAAACAAATAGCATTAGGAATAAAAATAATGGAATAAGAGAGTACCCAAAGGAGGAATAACTCCTCGGTAGCTGGTGGTTAACCTGGCATTGACACCTTACCTGCCTCCTATACAAGGCCTTTAATCAGGCCAAGCTCATTACCAACAGACACCAGACAGGTCAAACCGAGGTGGCTGGTTAACATTAATTGAATGTTACTTACATGCTTAGGCAAGAAGAAGTGGGGATTATACTATATAAATAAAGCCATCCTGCCATGAGAAATTGGTGTTTTAACTATTTGGGTGATTGGCCCTTTTAAATCCGGCTGCTCAGAGAGTCTTTATGAGTCACTCTTCCCTTTCTGGCAGCAGATTAATGACGTAGATCTATTAATGCTATTAGAGATCGACACGACGACAAGACAAGAGCTCAGAAAACTGTGTGTGTATATGAGTGTGTGTTAGTAAACCATTAATGCTGCAATTATTACAATCTGAATGAGGCTTGGAATATTCAGATGGATGCTAAAATTGGATTTTCTGAGCAGGGATAGTGAATAGTCAGATGGTACTACACACAGAACCAATAGTGCTTAACTCTGATTTTCACTTATCACTTGAAGTGTATCATCAGCATATATGCAGTACGTCTATAGTTGGCCTACAAGAGGCCATTTCTATTAGGATTGAATATTCTGCCAGGGTCATTTCAGCCGTGTAAACATTGATTAGTTACACATTGACATTTCCAGGTGTGGCAGCTGCAGTCTCAGCTTCACCACAGACCAGCTCAAGTGTTTTGGTTGAATGCTTTGCACTCATACGGGACAAATGTGTTGTTTCAACTCAAGTTAAGCAAACTCTTTCTGACACTGGATTTCTTTTGAAAAATGAATCGATGATGAATTGGTGGAACTGAACTTAGTGGAACTGAAGAAAACCATCAACTACAAATAAATGATCAACAGGGTGGCTGGCGGACACTCCCCTAACGCGAAATGCCCAAACATAATAAGTTGCTGTTATTTAGACAATGTGGTCATTTTGGGGGGGTTTTCTTTTGACACTATAAAACACACAATGAAGTGGATAATGTTCATTTGACATCAGAGGATCAACGCGTCTTCAATCCTGTGAGCTTTCCCATTTGATCAAAGACTCAACATGAGGCTGTGTGTATCTTTGGCATTCATCTGTATGACGCTGTCAGGAGGTAAGAGCAGCAAATGAGCAATCAGCAGAACAGAAATTAAGGCAGAAATTATGTTATTCTTGTCGGCCATTGTGACCATTGTTCATTTTCCTTTGCCTGCAGTGTGTGGGTTAAAGTGTTTCACCTGCTGGAGCGCAAACCCCGGCACCTGCACTCAGGTGTGGAACTGTCCTCAACATTACGACCGTTGCAGCACCACCATTGGCAAGCTGAATTTACATGTGGCTCTGATAATATGTTATGATTTTATTGTGTCCTATTATTCTTTATTGTGGGATTTACATTGTCCGAACTGTAATTCTTCGACACTTATCCCATGTTTTATCTTTATTTAATGGAACTTTTATTGTCTTTCGCCGTTGCAGTTGCTGAAAATATGATCACCAAAGAATGCATGAGGAGTGATATGTGCAGTAATGTAGATTCCGTGGGTGTTAGATGCTGCGCTGAAGACCTGTGTAATGGAGCTAAACACGCTGGAGTCGTTGTCCCTCTCCTTCTAGCACCCTTATCCATCATTACACTCTTCATTTGAGGAGTGAATTGGCTCATTTTTGCATTTTCATGCTGTAAAAATCAGCTGTGATGCTTTGAGTGTTCAAACGTGGACGAAACTTCCTGGTAATCAAAGAACTTTGGAGGTAGTGGTGATCTTTGATTGTACTGATAGCCCTGCATATCCTTGATTATTCTGATGGTATATTTTCCTCTTATCTTTTACTCCCACATTGAACAGTTAATTTTGAAATGTTTGTGAATATATAGAATGAAATGTACTAGATTAATTGGTGTTACAAAATGAATGTTGATTCCTTTGAAAATACTCATAAAAATATGTCAACTGTGCTCATATTTAAACAACAGCTTTGCTGCATATTGTTTTCCTTCAGACTGCATACTGCCAGAGTCTTTTTGCTACTCTTAAAAATATCTAAAATCCTACAAAACCAACCAAGAAGGCATAGCTTGCTTATTTACATAAGTTGCATTTCAGAGGAAAGGACAATTTGTTTGCAAAATACTTCAATTGGGAAGTATACCATTACCATGCATCGCCATGTGTGTAGTTATTAAAAGCAGGCAGTAGAGGGCAGTATAGGAGAAATCAAAAGGTGGCACAGAAACTCTCAGTAAGTAAAATATGTATCTTGTAAACAGGTCCACAAAGATTTGTTTGTGAAGCATGTTTTTGTCTATTATCAGTTCATATACTCTAGATATGAATTAAATGAATTTCATCTTAACAACTGATTTGAGTTACATACAATTTGTTATTTAAGAGTCTGTTAAAGAAAAGTATTGATAGTTATTAATCAGTGTTGTACTGTAATAACGTGCATTTACTCAACTGTACTTAACTACAAATTTGAGATACTTGTACTTTACCTGAGTATTTCCTTTCCATGCCACTTTACACTTCGACTCACATCCTAGAGGGAAATATTGTATTTTTTACTCCCCTACATTTGTCTGACAGCTTTAGTTACTAGTTACAAACTAATTCTAATGCATGGTTCGAGCTTCACAAATGTGAAGAATTGCTGCTTTTCCTTTCAATCATTTAAATTTATTTTTGATAATATTAAGGATTTTCTGCATCAATCATTTTTTTCCTTTTCATACTTATAGGTACATTTTCTTGATTGTAATTACTTTTACTAAAGTGACAATGCAGGACTTTTACTTGTAGTGGAGTATTTTCGAGTGCTATTAGTACGTTTAGACTAATTAAGTATAGGATCAGAATACTATCAACCATTGGTTTTAATGTAGTCCATGTGGGGATAGGGTTAGGTACTTCAACCTTTGGCAGTCTATTGTTTTAGGCATGTATGCAAAATAGACTACAAAATAACAGCTATAACTGATGTAAAATAAGAAAATGTTACATTAAAACCTGCAGACCAATTAAAGTGTACAACCCAATGGCAGCCAGGGGTCACAGTTTCATTTGCTGGGGTAAACATATTGCAATCATATAATAAATGGACATTTTTGAAAAGTGATGTCATAGCCGAGAAATCACCAAGTGACCTCAGGATCACACCCAGCTGATTATCATCTCTATTCAAAGCAGTTTATTACACAGTGACTGCATATGAACTCATATTCCTTTGTTCAGTCACTCTTATAATAATGTGCTCTGTAAAATAAAAGGCACAAGAGAACAACTGGACTTGAACCATTATGCAATCACTCCAGTTGAAGAAAACAACTCTTCTGTGTAAACTGTATTCATCACAGTTCACAGCACTCGAGACAGCCATTCTCTGATATTTGTGGTTAATATTGCTTTATGTCATCAATAACTGGAGGTAAACGCCCACATACCTACACTTAATCTATTCTGCTCATTAAGGATTTAATCAGTGTATTAATATGGAAATTACATATTAATCAGTATGTCAAAAAAAGAGC